ATCTTTTGTTGGCCAACCAGCTACAGCAGAATTGAGCCGAAATACATTATATTCCTATGTTCCGAATTTATTTCGTTCAATCTGTATATTGATAATTGCTTGGTAAATTCCTGTCTATGCCTAAAACACAATAACATAAATGGCAATGCATGTTACATAAATAACTGACAACAATCATACCATATTATGGTCGTTTAAAAAAACAGACGAAATTATTAACTAGTAACAAGAACATACTAACTGATACTTCTATTTTAACGGTAGATAGAAAAAATGTATGTACAGTTTGAAATTCTGAGCCCTATACAAAATAATATACAATACTAAATATTTGAGGTTAGAAAAATACAAAATCAGTGTTAAAAAACAATAGCTTACCTGTAAGTGTTGTTTTATTTGGAATATTACATGACAGTAATTGCAATATTATTTTCCACGAGAGTTCGGATCCATTTTACAATTATTAAACAACGAACTTATTATACAACTTTTATCAACCTAACACAATTGCGATCTAAACAAAAAGGTTTCAATGATTTTAGTTCATGCCAATTCCGCTAGGTACAAGGGTACATAACACTATGTCCGGATGGTAAATGACAATACACACATTTACTAGAGGTAAACAACACCAAGTCCACATAGTATTGTTTACCTCTGACTGGAAGTGGACTTGGTGTCTGTTAAAAAGTCGGTAACTTTCCGTAAAATTGTCTTTGGACATAGTATGTTTTACCTATGTGTAAAGCCAAAAAAGTTATATTCAAAAGTGCAATAATCTAAATTTCGATAAAAATGGACATAGTGTCCTTTACCTCCGAGGTACGCATATATATATATATATATATATATATATATATATATATATATATATATAATATATACAGGGTGATTGATTAGTGTGAGGAAGCTCAGTAGATCTGTTATAGTAAAAATTACTAAAAAAAGTTATTAACAAAAATTGTAGGCAGCTTTAAACTCCACATTTTAAAATTAGTTACAATCTTACAGGGTGTTCCATAAGATGGTGGCAGACCAAATTTATGTTTTTTTAAATAGAACACCCTGTATTTTATTTTAAATATAAAATCGGCTTCACTTCCTCATCACAACAATGTAAAGTTTTATTATGTTATACCGGGTATCTAAAAAGTTATAACCAATATTACCTGAAAATCGTATCAAGTTTAACTCCCTGTGCAATTAAAAAGGAGTATAGGAACATTGATCTACTGCAACCATAGTTTTTAAATAATTGTTATAAATTATAAAACATATTCGTTTTCATAATATTCGTTAAATCAAATACAGGGTAAGTCAAAATGCAAATACATTATTTTCTTGGTAATTTTAAATAGAACACCCTGTATTTTATATCACTATCAAAAAGTAATAATATCGTACTTCAAATTTTAGAACGTACTCCCTATACCTAAAGTTATCAGTTTTCTAGATATTATTGTTTTTCCATCAAAGTATTAATTTAGTAGATATTTTAACATTTACCAACTCACAATATAATTATTGTGAGTTGGTTATGATTGATTTGTCAAAAACTGACAGTTGGACATTATTGTTTAATAATTTAGTAACGAAATAACGACACAGAAAAGAAAACAATTTATTTAAAATAAAATTTATAAAAAATAACCAACGGAAAATAATAAAAAATATAACAACACATAGAAAAATTAAAAACAATAGTAAGTTTAACTTATCTTAAGTAAGGTATTCAAAATGACCTCCCAAAACATCTATGCATACTTGAAAACGGTCATTGAAAGAGTTGGTTACATTACTAAGCATTTTTAAAGAAATATTTTGAAATGCAATCGGATTCTATTTTTCATATCATCCCTTGTTGTTGGGGGTATTTTATATACTTCGTTCTTAACGTAACCCCAAAAAAATGAGTCCATTTTATTGAATTCTAGTGACTTTGGGGGCCACCTTACCGGTCCATCCCTTCCGATCCATCTTTCCCCAAACTGATTATTAAGCTCACCACGTACTAATTCGTTGTGGTGCGCAGGAGCACCGTCATGTAGAAACCACATTTTTTCACGTATATTAAGTGGAATCTCTTCTAATAATATCGGTAACGGATTTACGATAAAATCTAAATAAATCTCACCATTTAAATTATCTTCAAAAAAATATGGTCCTACTACATGGTTACCGACGGTACCTCCCCACACATTTAGAGACCATCTTGTTTGACTATGTGTTACTATGTGGTATGGATTACTTGTTGAGTAGTAGTGAAAGTTATGCCTATTAAAAGAACCGTTTCGATGGAATGTAGCTTCATCACCAAATAGGACATAATCAAAAAAATCTCTCTGCTCATTAATTTTTTCTAAGGCCCATTCACAAAATACTATTCGTTTCTGAAAATCATCATTAATTAATTCTTGGTGCTTTTGAATATGATAAGGGTGCATTTTGTTTTTAGATAGAATGTTTTGAACAGAGTAGTAACTAAGTTCTTGTTCATTGGAAATAGTCCTTATGCTTGTGTGTGAGTTTTCTGTAACCGCCATCAACACACTCATTTCGTTTTCTTCTGTCACACTAGTTTTTGTTCGTTCATGTTTTTCATAATTCACTGAACCAGTGCGGTTAAATCGATCTTTCAATTTTTCAAATGTATCTTGTCTAGGTTGTCGCGTATCTGGAAACCGTTCTTGATAAATTCTAGCTGATAGTAATGAATTTTTATTGCATTCCCCAAATATCCAGATCATATCTACCATTTCATCAGTAGTAAAATTCATTATTGCTAATTTAAATTGAATCAATTACTGAATTACTAAATAATAATTGTTGCTAATTTACGGTGTACCCCAATACTGAATTAATAAGTATTAATGTCAAACTGTCAGTTTCTGACAAATCAATCATGGCCAACTCACAATAATTATTGGTAAACGTTAAAATATCTACCAAATTAATACTTTGATGGAAAAATAAAAATATCTTTAAAACTAATAACTTTAGGTATAGGGAGTACTTTATAAAATATGAAGTACGATATTAGTTCTTTTCGATAGTGATATAAAATACAGGGTGTTCTATTTAAAATTACCAAGAAAATAATGTACTTGCATTTTGACTTACCCTGTATTTGATTTAACGAATATTATGAAAATGAATATGTTTTATAGTTTTTAACAATTATTAAAAAACTATGGTTGCAATAGATCAATGTTCCTACAATCCTTTTTAATTATACAGGGAGTTAAACTTGATACGATTTTCAGGTAATATTGGTTATAACTTTTTAAATACCCAGTATAATATAATAAAACTTTACATTGCTGTAATGTGGAAGTGAAGCAGATTTCATATTTAAAATAAAATACAGGGTGTTTCATTTAAAAAAACAAAAGTTTGGTCTGCCACCATCTTATGGAACACGCTGTAGGATTGTAACTAATTTTAAAATATTGAGTTTAAAGCTGCCTACAATTTTTGTTAATAACTTTTTTTAGTAATTTTTACTATAACAGATCTACTGAGCTTCCTCACACTAATCAATCACCCTGTATATATATACAGGGTGGTGAATCGTCAAACGGGCCATAGGAAACTCAATGGGAAATTCTAAATTGTTGAATTCCTGCTTCCCAAATTATTTTACACCAAAAGTCATGGGAAACTATTTGTAGAGGACTCAAATATGTATCGAAAACAACTGTTAAAATTATTCTACGACTTAAACGTATTCCAAAATTTTGCTAAAATATAATACATTTTTCTGTGAAAAAATGTGTATTATGTGTTGCGTTTTGTCATATTATTGTTTCTGATATTTGACAATATTTAAATCAATTATATTACAATTATCTATGATTTAAATGGCCAAAATTTTGTGATTTATTGTTAAAAAAAAATAAGTTGATTAAAAAATGTACTCAGTTGAGGAGAAAAAAGCAATAATAAAAATGTTTTATTCATCAATATTTATTATTAGGAATAAAGATCACAGTAACAGTATATTGGAATTCATTACATTGTTGTATAACTTAACATGGAATTAAATTTTAGTGAATTAGAATATCTTACGTTAAATAAAGATCCGGTAGTGGCAGAAAAAGGTTCGCGCTATTGCCTGTATACAACATTATGCGATTTTTCGTCAACTGAGTACATTTCATTATATTGATCGATTTGTAAACAATATAATTTATTGTTCACAAAGTAATAATGTGTAAATTAGTACTTGTGTTTGTATATCGTGAGTAGTAGTATTTAGTAAAATTCATTGTTTATAATTTAATCATAAAATAAAACAATTGACAATTCAAATTGTCAAACATCTGACATTAATATGATAAAACACAGACGTCCTAATATATATTCTTGCATTACGTGTGGCCTAACTTTTAGGGGTGGCCTGAAAAATGTACTATATTTTTGCAAAATTTTGAAGTACATTTGATTCGTAGAACGGTTTTAACATTTGCTTTTAATTCAGATTTTAGTCCTCTACAAATAGTTTTTTATGACTTTTGATCTAAAATAATTAGGGAAGCAGCAATTCAACAATTTAAAATTTCCCATTGAGTTTCCTATGGACCGTTTGACGATTCACCACCCGGTATATATATATATATATATATATATATATATATATATATGTATATATATATATATATATATATATATATATATATATATATATATATATATATATAATCCGACAAGCGAGAGCTGGCGGGTGAGCTGCGCGAAAATAAAAAAGGAATTATTCTAAGAGAGATAGGAGAGGTACTTAATCGCGATTATAGGTATATAGTATAGGTACTTAACGGTTATACACAATGTAAACTCCTAGCCGACTGCAATAGAAATGAGCAATCCCATCCACTTTTCAATTTGTTCTACACGCAACCCGCCAGCTCTCGCTTGTCGGGTTATATCTTATTATTATCACTGATTACCAAAATTATGAATACACTGAATTTTGTATTAGTAACGGTATAGAACTTACCTACCGATTCAAATTTTTTTTCTGATGATTTCAAAAAATCCTCAAACTTCGCAAACTCTTCTTCGGAGTTCAAAGGCAGGGAGAAATTTTCCCATATATTTATTATAGTGGGCTGTTCTCGGAGTTCTCGGGGTGGTGTTGATGCAGATATCTTGAAAAGATTACTGACTTCAGCCCGTAAGTCAGTAACAATTAACTCGAACATACTTAATTTTCTAAGGATGTGTTTTAGATATTCTAAAAAAGAGAACATTTATGTGAGATTAATATAACTAGTTGTTAAAAATTTTTCATACCCTCATTTTGTTGTTGTTGTTTTTCACATTTTCATGCTGCTCCATTTATTCCACTGCTGTCAATTAAAATATAAAATTAAATATTTACTTATGGCTATGATATAAAAAGAATACAGAGTGGAACTTCTATGTTATTCATAAGAAGCATAATTAAATAAGGCCTAATAGAAACATAAATTTTTATTTGCCCCTATTTGCATAAGTGGCATTGTAGCAAATTTTGTATAAAAGATATTGAACTAAAATTAATTATAGAAGTTTCACTCTGATGCTATTATTTTATATTTCCTCTGTACCTGATTCTACATCTTCCATGGTTTCTTTCGCATATACCTCTTCCTGCAAAGAATCTGAATCACCTAAAAAACAGAGCGAATATAAATGGGGAATAATTCCTAAAATATAAATTATATAGGTAAAAACAAATCTAAAAACTTGTGATAAATTACCTGATTCTTTATTTAATGCAAATTCTGGCATTTTTGGAAGATTGCTTTGGATGGTTTTATTTTTGTGCCCCATGGCATTCTCTGAATCACTGCTGCTGCTAGTGGTGGCAAACTTTGTTGGAGGACGGCATCTGCGAGGCCTGTTATCTGATGAGTTGGGATCAGATGTTTCCTCCGCCTTCTGGCACTTCCTCCTTGTAATACTGTAATCATCTATGAAAAAAATTATTTTTTTTATTTATATAGATCAACTAGAAGGTCCATTATACATATCTTACCATAGGTCGCATTCCTAAATGAACTTATGTCAAGTTTTTCCCACGTAGCTAGAGGTGGGTCACCATTTTTTAGGGCCTTTCCTAATTTATTGGCCTCATAATGTGGCCAAGAACAGGTATTGCCGCTCAGCCAATTTGTTGGTACAGCCTCTACTGAGCCATCTTTCAAAAATCGAACTATTGTCCAGGTTTTCATAACGCTAAAATAATAAAAAGCAGTAAATTTTATATTTAAAACATAAGTTTAGATTAACCATAAGTTCAAATTGAATATAAAAGGGGTTATAATAAGTTTAATTTAGAATCAAACTAATTGTCAAATAACGAAGGACTCACCCATGGTGACTCTAAGGGAGTAAGAAAAGAAGCCTTATTATTTGTTGACGTTTGGGGACTTCAAATAAATAAATATTTTGAAATTGAATCCCTACACATAAAGGAGTGAAAACATAAAATGGTAAATGTTCTTTTGAGACAAGATAACATACAAAGTAAACTGGCGTTACAGACCCATCCCATAATTTTAAAATTAAAACTATATGCAAAATTCCAATATATAATTAAGCAAAATTATAATAATTTTTTTTAATAAAATATTTTATTTTGTCACTAAAAAATGCCTGTATGTAATATAGGCATTATAACAAGTCAAGTCAAGTCAAGTCAAGTCAAGTCAAGTCAAGTCAAGTCAAGTCAAATTTATTGATCACATGCGACATTATACAAAGTACATGTATGAGACAAGTCAAAAATACAGACATAAATCTTAAAATTATATAAATTAATTAAACACGATAAAACATACTTAAAAATTATTTTTAGAATATGGCTCTAGCTCACAAATGTATTGATGTAGAATACACACCTCCTACACACCTCCGAAAGTTTGGCTGATGTAAATTCATTCGTATATCTATTGGTAATTTGTTAAAGAAACTTATAGAGCTATAGCTTTGTTATATATAAGCTTATAAAGCTTTGGCTTTGTTATATATAAGCTAAACCACTAAAAGGAAAACATATTACTAACAATATTGCAATAAAAACGAGAAATATTGACTCTGTAAAAATCCTAACCTAAGGTTTTTATATTACCCAAAAATAAACCAAATTAAAATTAAATAAACCAAACTAAAAATAACTAGGTAATTAAAAAAATAGTCAAAATGTTTTTACTTACTTGGTATATTTTGTGGTATTATTTCACTTATTTTGAATACTTTTTTAACAGCTCGATTTGCAAAGGTGCTAAACGATTCATTCAAAACAATATCCAACTTCTTACAGGCAAAGGGATACAAATGTAGTTATACCTGTTTGCCGCAAACTGTTTTAAAATATTTCGTAAGTAGTCAAACTAGAACCGGCGGTATGTCGCCACCAGCAGTTTAATTCACCTGTATCTGTATCTCTTTGCCACTAAATTTTTAGTACTATCTAGTATTATTTTCTGCGCCTACCGATTTTACAATATTTTGTCACTTGTACCCCTTAGCATCCAATCCCCTCAACTGATACAATAGGGATTATTTTTTTATTTAGAGAAGAATGTCACACCAACCAAAGAAGTTTAAAAGTCAAGGTTCTCTAATTTTGTTTTGATTGTTTTAGAGTTGCTTTTTAGATTTTTACCTTGATTAATTTTTTTAATTTCTATTTTGTATTCCATAATTTCTAATTTTTATATTAATTAAATAATCAGTTTGTCACAAAATACATATTATATTTTAGAAGCCGAATATTGTTATCCGAACAGCTAGCCTGAAGGATAAAGAACAAATTAAGCAACACTTGAGGCTTAATTTTTACAAAGATGAGCCATGCTGCAAATCCATGGGAGTTCTTGCCGAAGGACAACCACTTTGTGAAAATTTGGAAGATTACTTTTTGTTATCTTTTGGTAATGGATTAGATCTTGTCGCCGAATGCGATGGAAAAATAGTAGGAGTGTGTTTAAATGTATTAATGGAAAGAGGTACCAAGCTTTTTTAACATTTTTATAGATATGTGTTTTATATTGGGTTATATTATACAGATCTAAAAAAAAGAATTTAAATGAGAAATATTTTTTGTCACTTCTTCTTCTTCTTCTTCTTCTTCTTCTTCTTCTTCTTCTTCTTCTTCCTTCTAGTATGTAGGGATTAAAGCCTGTTTCTTCTTCAATATTAGCCTCCTAAATTGTCGCACCATCTTTTTCTTGGTCTGCCAATACTTCTTCGTCTATTTGGTGACTTATTTCGTGCTATTCGTACTATTCTATCCTCTGCCATTCTACTGATATGTTGTCTTCTATATCGCATGCTCTTCTTATGTTTTCGCTTCTCTCCCTATCCAATAGACTTCTTCCTGATATTCGTCGGAGTATTTTCATCTCTGTTGTTTCTAGCAGTCGTCTCGTTTTAGATGTGTCAGGTCTTGTCTCCGCCGTGTATGGTGATATAGGTCTAATTGCTGCTTTATAGATTCTTGTTTTTGTGTCTTGTCATAGGTGTTTGATCTTCAAGATTTTGCCATTAAGAGAACCCGCCGCTTTACTTGCTTTTAAGCTTCGTTGTCGTACTTCTTCTTCAACATTTCCGTAACTAGTTATATCTATTCCCAAATATCTAAACACTATCCCACTGTGTTAGTTTTCCATTCATCTTTGCTTGTATTCGATTTTGGAGGTAGATGTTTTCGATGGTTTGTATAATATTGATTGGTATGTTTCTTTTATACAGTAGGTGTAAGACGTCTTCGACTTGGATGCGATCGAAAGCCTTTGTCAGGTCTATAAAACATAGATATGCTGGTTTATTGTACTCGATGGCCTTTTGTGATTTGTATTAGTACAAATGCGGCGTCTACGCAGGATCTTTCGGATCTGAATCCTTGTTGTTGATCTGGTAAAGTTGTTAGTTTATTGATTTTATTAGTTAGGACTTTTGTTGTAAGCTTAAGTGTGGTGTTCAGTAGATTTATACCTCTATAATTGTTAGGGTATTCTTTATCCCCTTTCTTGAACATTGGTATCATTATACTCTTTCTCCATGCGTCTGGTATCTTGCAGTGCAGTATTTTTTGTCACAATAATTAATAAAAGAGATATAAGAGTTTTAAAATTGAAAAAAAAATTCTAAAAGAAATTTCACATTTGTAACATTTTTCTCCAGTGTACACATCTCATATGCCATTTCAAATTAGTTGTCTGAGTAAACTGATTAAAACCAAATTTCACAGTTGTAAGGTGTTACTCCAGTGTGCAACCTCATATGCTGTTTTAAAGCCATAGACGAGCAAACTGCTTAAAACAAATTTCACAATTGTAAGGTGCTTCTCCAGTGTGCAATCTCATATGACGTTTCAAAGCCATGGACTGAGCAAACTGCTTAAAACAAATTTCACAATTGTAAGGTGCTTCTCCAGTGTGTAATCTCATATGACGTTTCAAAGCCATGGACTGAGCAAATTGCTTAAAGCAAATTTCACAATTGTAAGGTGTTTCTCCAGTGTGCAATCTTATATGGCGTTTCAAAGCCATGGACTGAGCAAACTGCATAAAACAAATTTCACAATTGTAAGGTGTTTCTCCAGTGTATAATCTCATGTGCCGATTTAAATTCTTCAAACATTTTCATAAACATGTATAATTTTGACTTTTTTTTTAAAAACGTAGTGGGTTACGTAGTTTGGTACTCAAATTGATTGTGGTATACGACCTTATAAATAATACTTTCTAAGCACTTATCAACTATTAAACATAGATTATAATCTATTAAACAGAGATTATAACTTTATCTATTACTAATTGACATAATTTTCATATTAAAAAAAATATAAATTAATTATCTTTCTTTTTGGTGCAGAAAGGAAGGTCGTCGTTAAACTTATTTACCTCCAATGGTAAAACTTCTGTCAGTTATTGAAGATGATCATATTTTTGCCAAGTTATGGGAATCCTACGTTTATATAATTGTTGTTTGATGAAGGGTGCAGTTGAACAATTATTTGGCCTTTGCGGAAGTGGTGTATTTTCCTTGTTTGTAGTCTGTTTAATAATAGATAATATCATATGGGCCATACCGCAAACATTTCAGATTATTAACAGTAGGATCACCGGTTTTTCGGCCAGGTCTAATAGATTGATATCTGAAAGTATATCTAATATCAAAATTGATAAAGAACTCGTGGTTAGATAGTGAACTAAACAAGTGAAATGATTTTTTTAGCTTCTCTTATGAAAATGGGATATTGACTTGGAAGATGAATTTCTCGTCCTTTTAACTTTCTTTCTATCAAACCGTGAGCGGAATCAACTTCCATCTGCGTGTGATCTTTTTCCAAAAAAATTTGGAAAATTGTCACACCATGTTTCACTGCAAAATTAAGAAGTGCGTTTGCCAGTACAACATTTCTATTTTGGTAGCCACATCCGTCGAAATAAATTATCACCGGTTTTTTCTCGACATGGCAAAATTCCTCTAAGTGCTTCATTATGCAGGTAGTGAATGTCGATGATACAAGTTCGCCTTCGGCTTCGCTTCAGCAGTAATTTACACAATTATGATTATTTAAATTATAAATAGAAAAATTGGACACAGCTTGACTGCCTGCACATCCATCATGAACACATGTAATGCCTGTACTTTTGATCAGATATTTTCTCTAGTTTGTAAGAACAACAAATATCGCACTGATCCTTTTTTGGTTGATAAATAGAAATATATATTTCAGTCAATGTTGCCATCAAGGTACAGATAGACAGTGCTGAACTTAGTTGTTCCTCGCAGTGTTTTTTGTATAAATCGTAGACCTCCGTTTTATTTTTGAAAGATTCCTGCAAGTATAATTTGCTCTGCAGGAATGTGATGGTAATTTTAGGATTGAGTTTATAAATTCTACTATCAAGTTTTTTCGTTCGTTGTTTTTTTGTTATTCATTGGTTTGCTTTTTTTATTTCTTTACATTTTGGCATCCCATGAATAGTTACAATCATCGTCCAATCTCTAACTGATCCCCCTTTTGTTCCTAGAGTACTTAGAAATATTTTCTTGCAGACTTTCATTTTACATTCCCCACTTGAAGACGATAATAAAATGTTCCTTGTCTTCTAGAGTCAGTCTGAACATAGAATATTTTTTTCTCTTCCTAATTTACGACCTTACATAACATTTTTTGTTGTCCCAGTTCAATTTCCAAATTGTGTCAAATATTTCCCTCCTTACTTCTTCATCTATTTTATTACAAAACCTCGCGAGTGACTTGCACTCACATACAACTCCTAATTTCCTAGCAGTCCTCTTCACTTCATTTCCTTGCACATCTTTCATAGTAGATATATATTCTTTCATTCTTAGTTTCTTATTCATTTTTCTCTTCCAGGTTGATGTGTTTCGTTTTTTTTTCTCTTAATACATTTCTTTGTTACACAATTTACATCCTCGCTATTATGTGCATCTGTATTGCCATTATCTGTTTCATCTGGTACATAATCGATCGGGATTTCATTATCAATTTCCTCTTTATCATAACATTCAAACATTTTTGTTGCATTACTTCCATTCCCATTCATATTTTCTTCAAGCAATTCTTCCTGAAACAAAAAAAAATATTTGATACCGATAACACTTTCATAATGATTCTCATTTACCTGTGCCGTCGAAAATTTCTCCGTTATTTCATTTTTTCCTTTCTTGGTTTCTCGATCATCCGAATTTAGAGTAATCTCATTTAATATCACACTGTAATTTATTAACTTTTTGGCTGTAAGATTGATGTCTTCAAATATTATTGGAATCTTAATCCAACATGACGTGCTGGTCAATAGATTTATCTATTAATATAGGGCTCAAAATAGTTGAAGAAGGTTCATCCGAGTTTGAGAGTTCGCTAATTTTAATAATCCCTTGATTATCATCTGAGGTTTCATTTTTTATCTGAGTTAAAAGCAGCGGTAAGAGCCATAATTTTAGATGTTCGGTCTGAAATCCTAAAAATATCAAACAACTAATAAAAAATGTTTCCACATTATAACAATGTACTTAAACGGTAATTTCACGATTAACGTCGCATTTAGTGCGAAACACAATTTAAAATTAGGTACTATAATAAAACTCTAGTCAAAGAATTAAAACACAAGTTTCAAATTAATATAAAATAATAAAACAAAAAAATGTTTCAAAACTAGTAAAAAAATATTACATTTGAAAAAATCGATATACCTATAGGTTTTGTGATAATAATAATTACAAAATATTCTACGCCTAAAATATAGATTATAAACAAGGAAGAGGTAAAATGTCGTATCCCACTAAACATTAAAAAAAGCATTAAATATTTTATCAAAACCTAGATATGACAAACTATTTTGCACTGTAAAATGCTATAACTAATACAAATTACTATACCAAGACGCACTTGACTCTTGAAAACGCATTGACAAACTGAGGCTTACGACGTTTAACAAATCAATCAAAGCACTCTGTTGATATAACAATTTGTTTTGGCGCGCAAAATGCATTTTCTAGGCGGCTGTGGCTTACGATGATTTGTGACAATGTGCAAGTAGGGCGGATGATTCAAATTGCGCTCAAATCGGAATTTTCAAAGTTTAGTGGGTTACGACGTTTTGCACTTAAGCAATCGATATGGCGTTTCAAAGACATGGACTGAGCAGACTGCTTTAAACAAATTTCACAAATGTAATATGTTTCTCTAGTGTGTAATCTCATATGCCGATTCAAATACTTTGAATGAGTAAATTGTTTTAAACAAATTTCACATTTATAAGGAATTTCTCCAGTGCCAACGTTCAGATCATTTGCTAAAGAATTTTTATGAGAAAACTGTACGGTTTATCTACAGCATGGATTTTCATTTTCATATGTTGATTTAAGTATTTTTTTTCAAAAAATTGCTTAACACAAATTTCACATTTTAATGTTTTTTTTAGCAAGTAGATTCGTAGGTTGTTCCTTATTACATGAATGTATGTCTATTGCTTTCATAATTTTCAAAGTGTACTTCTCTTGGAAAAATCCTAAAAAAATCAGTTATATATATATATATATATATATATATATATATATATATATATATATTATATAAAGTTATTCTGCAAAAAAAAAATTAAAAATAAAGGAGCCCTCTTCCTGAGAGCTCCATTATTATCCGGCCTTGGATCCAGACTATTTCTAATATATCGTCGCAATAACCGCATTATGTCGTAACCCACCAACACTTAATTTTAGAGGAGAAGGAAAAAACTGTTTTATGTCATTTAAAGCAAATTTAAGAAAATGTAATTAATATGTATAAAGTTATTTCATTGCTAGATTAATGTTTTATTACATTTTAATTAGTTCTATTACTTTTTTCTGGTTAACGGTGGCTTACGACATATTGAATTTTACAATTTGGACTAATTCTGTGGATTACGACATATTACTACATAATTCGGCTATATTTATTTAATGTATAGAACAGACGAAAATAATTAAAATTGCTTTTATTTTGTTCATATAATTTAAACGGAATTTTCTTCCCCTATTTCCATTCATTTGTCTGTTTCACCTTTCACCATTCATTCTGCCTTAATCTCATTGTATCTAAAGTAGGCAAGTCCTGTGTCATGAAATCTGGTTTAATAAAAACTACTGGTAGTTTGTAGGAGAATTTTTTATTTACTAAATTATAATAAACGATGTAATAGTAAGACGATTATCATTACGTAAAGTGAGGTATGTTGTCGTAATAAGCATGACAGTCTTTGGGAATGACTGGTTTAAGCTCCTGTAAGTGCTTGAATTTCGATGCAGATATTTTTCTTGGTTCTTTATTAAGCTTGTTCCAAGTGATGGGTGCTGCAACTTGAATCATCCTTTGAGGTAATATCTGCCACTCGTGATCAAAATTTGTTTTGTAAAGTACCTCCCCTCCTGGAGTGTATTTAATTGCTCTTAGGTCAACAACTTTGTTCGTACCTGCTCGAAGTGACTTGAAGCGATATTTTGATGAATCGGAGTAGTCAATAAATTCATCATAGTTCATCCACTTGGCAACATAAGGCATAGGCTTAGATCTTGCAGTTTCGGTAGCTGTCAAATAAAAGCTTGGTAGAAAAATTGGTTTGTTTTTAACTTTCTTTTCAATATTCGCATGAACAGAATCACACTCCATGTGAGTGTGTCCAACTTCGAGATATTTCTGAATTATGGTTTTTTTATGATCTATCGCAAAATCTAACAGAGCATTTCCCATTATACAATTTCTATTTTGATACGTGCAGCCATCGGAATAAATTAAAATTTCGTCGTCATCTTGGCAGTGGGTTTGCAGGTAACGAATTAATATTGTAGCAAATGTCGATGCTTTTAAGTCAGTGTCAGTTTCGCTAAACCAAAAACATACCGTATATTTAGTGGCGATATCATACACAGTCAGGTTATGGCAACATAATTTTGTTTTAAAGTATGCTGAGCTTGATTGTATGGAAGGGGCCACCTTAACAGCCTGTAAATCCATTTGAATAAGTCTAGTTTTTTTGTTAACAGCATCTACTTTGTCTTTCTCCAGTTCTTCTCTAGCTCGATTTTTCCGATTTACATGCTGTTTCCAGACATCTTCGGTAATATTTCCTACTTCATATTTTGTGCAAGTGTCACATTTATCTTTTTGGATAGTATGTAATGACATGTTTTTATCTTTGAAAACAATTGAAAACTTGGTTTTACTTAAGGGTATTATTCCTTTGTTTTTAACGTGTTCACAGTATACTGAGTATAATTTTGATAAAGAGTCAAAACATTGTTCTAAAAAAAATTTTGAATTGTTCTTTCTAGAATAATGCGACGGTAACTTTGGTAAATCGTCTAAAAATGTTTCTAATATACCTTTGTCTTCCAGTTTCTTGTTAGATACTTTGCGAAGTGAATTCTTGACTTCTTGAGATTCAGCCATTCCGTGTTTACTATTGATCACCCAATCACGGACAGACCTCTCTCCAATAGAGAAAGTTGAGAGAAACATCTTTTTGCACACAGGAAATTTTTCATTCTCCAATTTAAGCGTGTATATAAATGTTTGTCCTCGTCTCGAATGATCTGATGTTGTGTATCGACGTTTGGGTTGGATTGTCTCTACTAAGCTAGCTATGTATACTCGCCTTTGCTCCCATGATGTTTTCTCCCAGAATCGTTGAAAAATTTCCAGCCTTTGATCCTCATTTATCTTGTGACATTTTTGGAATTTCTTACAATATTCAGACGTACAACGGGGTCCAATACTTTTATTTGTTCTTGGCTTGTTATGGGTTATTATTTTTCCTTTTCTTTCATAGCCTATATATTCCTTACCTTCTAATCTAAGTTTTTTATTAACAGCTCGATGCCACTTTGATTTTTCAGACCTAACAGCCCTTTGTTTTCTTTTCCTTTTTATAACTTCTTCGTTGATAACTTCATGGTTTTCTTGAGCAACAGATGTACTTTCGACTGTCACTCCTTCTTCGAGTTGTGTTCCATCATTTAAGGCCAACTCTGTTTGATTTTTTTCATCGGCTGACGTATTTTTAACTACGTCCATCTCTACTAATAATTGTACTTCATTTTGTGCATTAACAGTCTCTAAGTTCTTTTGTAGATTTTTTGAACAGGTAATTACATTATCATCAATGTTTTCATCAGAGCTATCTCTGCATTCCCAATTGCTCTCTTGAGTAACAAATGTACTTTCAATTGTCACTATTTCCTCAACTTGAATTCCGTCATTTAAGAAAAACATGGTTTGATTGTTTTTAACTCCGTCCGGGTCTAGTAATTGTATTTCATTCGTTAGCTTAATAGAATCTAAGTTCTCTTGCACATTTTTTGAATATGTAATTACATTATCATCAAGGTCTAACAACATAGCATAATTTAACTGGTCATCAGCATGGGTTGTACTAGGAAGAGTCAGAGTAAAACCATTATTTTCTTTATTTTCCTCGTTACCAAGATCAAGAGGAATTGTTAGGTCATCTGCTTGACACTCACTGTGTGAATGATTTTGAACAGGATAAGTAACACAGTTAATACTACATACCAAATTGCTTTCAGTGTTCGATTGAATAACGGTGTCCTCCATATCACATAACGCAAGTATGCGTCTACTTCTGCTATTCATTTTGCTCTAAAATAAAAAATTAACCTTATAAGTTATACTAAATTTACAATAAAGATGCAGTAGAAATAAACAAACCAAGACACCTTAAGTGCTACTAGGAACACTCCCAAATCATAGTTTACAATGTATATACATTGTAAATCTCAAATCATGGTTTCCAAAGTTTATACATTGTAAATTATGATTCGGGAGTGTTCCTAGTATCATTAAACGTGTCCTCGTTTGTTTATTTCTACTGCATCTTGATTATAGTATAGGTTAGAAGAGTAAAATGATGCAATTACACGCCCAGTTGCTAATTATCAGACTGTTTTTTACTTACCTTAATATTAGAAGAGCTACACAATACTTTCAATACTGTATTTAGTACTAATTACTAAATAAACAATAAAAAATAACAAACTTTTACAGAGTGTTGTAGGTTTACTTCAACTGTGAAAATAATACTACGTTGTCACGTTGTTGCAATCTGTCGTAAGCCACGTATATTTTAACGGTTTTGTGGGTTTGGACAAATTGCACTGGTAATTTATGCGCATTGTCGCTTCCGACGTATTACTTAAATATTAATTGTGGTTTTGAACAAATTACGCTGGTAATTTAAATGCATTGTGACTTCCGACGTATTACTTAAATATTAATAGAAAAATAAGGAACATTCTAGGGCTTACGATATTTTGCAGAAACATGTGTCTTCAATAGCAGAATTAAAATCTTCAATAATGAAAAAAAAAAAAAATTTGTGGGTTACGACATATTGCGGTTATTGCGACGATATATTAATGACCTTACAAGTGTTGAATCAAACGCTACACATACACACTCTTTGCCAATGACACCACGGTCTTCTTCGCAGCTGACACATTTGAGGACTTCCTTAGGGTTTTCAGGTCTGCACTGTGAGACAACAAAGAATGGTTCTGTGTTAACAGGCTCCTTCTTAATGAAGCAAAGACCAACAGGGCTATTATTACTTTTAGGGACACTTAAGCTAAAAACGCAGATGTGGCAAGTATGAAGTTCCTTGGGGTACATTTGGACCTAACGCTTCAATGGGATCAACATATTGACTATTTGAATAAAAACCTATCAAATACCTTATATGTGTTAAGAAATCTAGCATCGGGTTTTACCGCTACGAAAGCCTTGTTGTGCATCTAATATACTAAGCATTTTAGGTAGCCTATTTGTTATTGAAAGTTACAGAGGAATTTATTAAACACAACAAACAAACCTTGTTCTATTATTTTTTGAGAAGTATTTTAGGCATATTTTGTTTGAACACATAGGACGGGCGCTCGGACTATGGCGCAACAAGATCTAGAGCACAAATTTTTGCTGATTTAAATTCTCATTGTACAAATGAGCGTCTCCCCGCCATACACGCTTTAGTATCAATGAACAAACAATAGATTATTTATGCACCAAGGCTGTTATTAAGATGATTACGCCCGGATAGCAACATAATTTACCCTGGGCCGAGGGATGGATGTGATGGGTGTTATCATACGGTAACACGAGTGATATACACAAGATTTTATTCTTTACTTTATATATATTATATATATATATATTATTATATATATATATAATATATATATATATTAATATATATATATATATATATATATATATATATATATATATATATATATATATATATATATATATATATATATATTTCTCCTTGAGCAACCTCCTGAACCTTATTTTGGGAAATCTCATGAAAGTATTTGTGCTAAAAAATCCAAAATGAGAATATTATTCCGACTGAACCCTAGCTTTTAGCCTTAAAAATTGCCAAAAAATAGTCCGCGATAATCGTCTGATAATTCGTGAGAACTTTAAAAAATGTATGTTTACTCACAATCTATTTATTTTACAATTTTTAGGAGTCGAAGAAACACCATTTGTAGCAACAAGCGAAAAATGTATAAAAATAAAAGAGTTTTTGGACTACATATTCGAAGAGGTTAATATCTTTGAAAGATATCCCGATGTAAACAAAGCAATCAATTTACTGATTTTATCAGTAGAAATGAAATACAGACATCTGGGAATAGGAACGCTTCTTTGTAAAAGAACAATGTAAGTATTTGGTGTATAATTTTCTATCTCTCCAGCGATTCTACAGCCTAATTCAGGCCTTGGCCTCCTTCAGCACTCCTCCACCCTCAGGTGACCAGCCAAGTGCAATCTTTGTATATTTGCATAATTTGCTATAGAAAGTTCTTTGTAATATTTATATAAATCGTGATTGAATGTTATATTTCCACATACAATAATTATCGCAGATGGGCCCCTATAGCTTCGTTGGCTATTTTATCCATTAATGTAACAAACAAGAGAGAACATAGTACCCTCCTTGTCTAACACCCATTTTTGTAACAAATTCATTTGATTTTTGGATATTCATTTCGGTAACATTTCTAGTAGGTACACTATATATACTTTTGAGAGCTAGAACTAGCTTGTTATAGATCCCTCTCTTACGTAGTTTTACATACTTCCTACTGCGATACTATGTCAAATGATTTTACAGGATCAAAAACCCGAATATAGTTGTATTGTAATGTGGTGCTTTATCTGCTAGCTGTTGTACTGTGTTTATGAAGTATGATCGCTATTTAATTTTAAATACTAAAGACCGACAAATTATATAAAAAAGCAACGCCATTTTACTGAAAAAGCGTAAAAAAATCTTTAAAATAAGAGTTTGTCAAGGTATTCTTGTTAACCTTTTGCTTAATTATTGCAAAAATAGCTTCAAAAGTCGATTTAAAAAAAAATATTAATAACTTTTCTAAAAATACACAAAAAACTTATATTGGGCGTGATAATAGCGACAATATCACATATATTTAGCTATACAAATTTCAAGAGATTTCAGTTAACAGTTATTACAAAATTAAAATTGTTTATCCCAGAAAGATTTTATCTACAACGTTATTATGCATAACTAGGTCTACATAAATTTTGAAATCACCACATTAAAGAGAAAGGTTTAGTTTATCAAATTAAATTAGTTAATGATTAAAAAATTAATGTTAAATATTGTAATATAGCATGTCAAAAGTACTGTGATTATAAAAATTTAAAATAACTCAGATGCATCAAGATATAGGAAGTTATTTCTTTTATTCGAAATTTCGAATCGAAAAACAAATTTCAATTTGTCTTTCAATGTCATACGATTCTTAAAACTTTCTATTTCTCAATTTATTTAACTATTTGAAAAACTGAATTTATAAATTCAAAATAAAAGTCGCAATATCTCTGTTTCTAATCAAGGAAAATTGATGATGATGATGATTGATGGGTAATTTGTTCAAACAATTTAAAAAAAATATTTAATTTGCAAAATTTTACTTCTCTCTTATTATTATTAGTAGAAAAGTAATTACTATTTAAATGGGAATAAGTCACGATTAAAGGTTAAAGTAAGTTTATTGGCGTTTCAATTTTCACTTCGGAAATGGTTCTCAAAATACAAACATTAGTAAATTAAACATCTTTTGTTTTTTTCTTACTTGATGAAAACGTCTTCTAATAATTTAATTTTATCTGACTCGTTATATTAACAATTCAGACATACATTATACATTTTAAAGTAGACTTTAAAATGATATTGCCAATATTGTTGAGTTGCGTTCCTGGGACGACTTTACTTGTAAGATAGTTCATTCGATTACATGAAATCAACTTTAACTTAAGAATATCCGTCAGAAAAAATCATAGCATGTAATTCGCCTTTAAAAAGACAACCACATACCATGATGACAGTAAGATTCTACTGTTAGTAATTCCATAGTAAATTATTAGGGAAAAACCAGGAAAAAAACCTCATAATACTATCCCGACATGGTAAGTAACACCAAATTCTGATTTTATGTTTGTTTTTAAAATACACAAATAATGTATTATCGATATGCTACTGACTTACTAATACTGGTATTTTCCTTTTACTAACTTCCTCTATTACTGTGGGTAACCAGATCCTACTATATTCTGCCGAGTAATTTGCGACACAATTGGTCTTATTTATCATAATTAGAGCAGCTTCTTTGATTTTTCTCTTTTTATCATCCGTTTCTTTTAGGACTGTACTTGAATTATTCCATTGTTTCTATGTTTATTATTCCATGCGTGTTTACATATTTGAGATCTATCAAATTCTCTATTTTTAATATAATATTGTTGTTCATTTATTCTAACATTTAATTGCCCTGATGTTTAAAGACAAGGGCTTAAACTCAGGTTTTAGAACATTATGTTTTTTTAGTATACCGAATACAAAAAAATAACTTCCCACATGTTACTGCATCTAAGTTATTTTAATTAATTCTAAGCTTAAACTCATAGTACTTTTGCAAACCTATTTTAAAATATTTTACATAAACTTTTAATCTTGCTAATTTACGCGTAGTACTGTTATACATAGATAAAAGCTTTTTGGCTCTTCTAACAATTTCAATTTTTTCCGTAACCATTAAGTAAAAACTTGAATATGTTGCCTTTGTGAGTACATTTATAAATAAATAAATTTTACAAATACATTTACAAATAAATTTGTTCTGCCACCAACGACCGGTTTCGCATACTATAGTTCACTATGCATCTTCAGGTCAACGGTACTTGGTAAACTAAATGCTAAAAATATAATAACCCGTAGTATGTGCTGCAATTATGCCAATATTATATGTGTGCGATTTATTAAATTGTATTTATTGCAAAAATAAGATATGTTTTTTTTTTGTCTTATAAAGTAATCTATTTGAGACTAGTTTTATTAATTTTTTATATTTAGATATACTACGGTAAAATATCAAATTATATATGGATAACATTTCTTAAGAACATAGAGAGATGAGTGTGAGAGTGTGTTTTTATGAGAAATAGAAGAGGGAAGAATAGGAGCATCAGGGAAAGAAAAGGCTATAATAAATATTTATAATTCTTTATTTTTTTCCTTAAACTTAGTTAAAACTTTAGTTAACCATATATGATTTTTGAGCATGTATTTTATTTTAGAGAATTAGCCAAGACATTAGAAGCCAAACTAATAATGGTCGAGTGCACGAGCATATATTCAGCAGCTGCAGTGAAATCTTTGGGCTTTCAATTGGTCTGGAAAAGTGAATTCGACAAATACAAAGTTAACAACGAGATAGTCTTCAAAACAACACCGCCGCATAATATTGTACAGACATTAATATATAAAGTGTAATGTGCTGTGAATAAATACGATGTAAATTGTGCAATTGTACAAAAAATGAATATATCATTATATTTATTTGCCAAACCAATTTTTGTTATATGTATATATATATATATATATATATATATATATATATATATATATAAATATATATATTATATTAAGATGCATTGAGATCTAATGACTTCTTATCATATCAAGACGGTAGAAATAGCGAACTAGTAAGAGAGTAACATAATTAATAATAATAATATTGTATATATATATACATATATTTATATTTATATTTATATATATATATATATATATATATATATATATATATATATATATATATATAATTACTATTTATGACTGGGAATAAGCCACAATTAAAGATAAAAAATACGTTTATTGACGTTTCAATTTCCAATTCGGAAATCGTTCTCAAAATACAAACAGTAAATTAAACAAATTTTGTTTTTTGTTACATAGTGAAAAAATTCTTCTAATAATTTAATTTTATCTGACTCATTTATATTGACAATTCAGACATACATTATGCATTTTAAAGTAGACGACTTTAAAATGATATTGCCAATATTGTTGAGTTGCGCTCCTGGGACGACTTTACTATAAGATAGTTCATTCGATTACATGAAATCAACTTTAACTTGAGAATATCCGTCAGAAAAAATCATAGCATGTAATTCGTCTTTAAAAAGACAAACACATGACATGATGACAGTAAAATTCTCCTGTTAGTGATTCCATAGTAAATTATGAGGGAAAAAAATTCCTCGGTAGAATGTAGTAGGATCTGGTTACCAATATTGAAAGAGGAAGTTATTAATAAGAAAATACCAATATTAGTAAGTCAGTAACATATAGAGGATACATCATTTATGTTTTTTAAATAACGTAACATATAAAATCAGAATTTTGATGTTTGTTGAAGGTAAACTAAATTCACGAACAAATACTTACAATGTCGGGATAGTATTATGAGGTTTTTTTCCTGGTTTTTCCCTCATAATTTACTATGGAATCACTAACAGGAGAATTTTACTGTCATCATGTCATGTGTTTGTCTTTTTAAAGACGAATTACATGCTATGATTTTTTCTGACGGATATTCTCAAGTTAAAGTTGATTTCATGTAATCGAATGAACTATCTTATAGTAAAGTCGTCCCAGGAGCGCAACTCAACAATATTGGCAATATCATTTTAAAGTCGTCTACTTTAAAATGCATAATGTATGTCTGAATTGTCAATATAAATGAGTCAGATAAAATTAAATTATTAGAAGAATTTTTTCACTATGTAACAAAAAACAAAATTTGTTTAATTTACTGTTTGTATTTTGAGAACGATTTCCGAATTGGAAATTGAAACGTCAATAAACGTATTTTTTATCTTTAATTGTGGCTTATTCCCAGTTATAAATAGTAATTAATTTACAATGCCACAAGAAAATAGTTTCAGAACAATATATATATATATATATATATATATATATATATATATATATATATATATATATATACAAGAAATACTGGATATTAGTGACTGTCGATATAAACAAACAACACAGTTTATTAGGGTTGCAGTCAGAATATTGGCCGGGATGTTAAAAAAACACTCTTTTGAGTTTTTGTCGAGCTTTCGGAATGGTTTTATTCCTTTTTCAAGACACTGTAAAAGACAATTATGTAAATATTTAAAAAATACCACAATTCTTTAGTGTAACTTACAAGTCGTTGAGATTATTTCTGTAAGCATTGACACTCAACATTTATACCACACATTAAAATATACAATTATGGACATAATACATCATAAAATTTTTAAAATTTGTAAAAATAGTAAAACTTGATTGATGGCATGTTTTACTGGTGTATATTAACTCATACAGAGAATGGAAAGAAAAAACAGTGTAATTAATATGTAATTAGGTGTAATTGATGTTATCTTTCTTTACAAGAAATACTAGAGGCCCTTCTTAGGTGACTATACTTTTTAAACCTGTCTTAATGGTATGCAACATATTATACAGAGATGTAATTTTTGTACAGGTAAATATTTATTTTATTTTTGGTGTTTTTCTAGTAAATAACAATAAATGTTACTTAATTTGTCTATGTCGGACTTTTTGTTGATGCAAGATGTGCTAGATTTTATGAAACACATTTCCAAAAAAAACACGTTTTGAATGGTTCTTTTCTTTTGCCAAAATACAGGAATCATCGAAATTGAATTCATGTTTTGGAGTTAGTGCATGTTCTGTCAATGCACATGCATTGATTTTTTTGGTTTTTATATCACTGCGATGTGATATCAACCTGCTGTGAAAATTACGAGATGATTCTCCTATGTAAATTTTATTACAGTTACTACACGGTATAGAATAAACAACATTCGATGACTCCTGTATTGTGAAAGGATCTTTTGTTTTTGTGTAAAGCTTCGATACTGTTTTCACATTTTTGGTTGTAATTTTTAAGCCACTAACATTTTTAAAGATGTTCATGAGCTTAGGTTTCAAAAATGGAATGTAGGGTAGGCAACCATAAGTTATTTGATGGTAATATTGATGCGTTATGTGTCAATGTCAATTGTCGGATCTCATTGTTTTGAAAATTTTGGTTGACAGAAACTTGTGAAGGAAAAGGAGAACCGAAAATGAGTTTATTTAACAGCCCTATGGGATAAGAATTCTCTTGTAGTATGGATCTCAACTTTTTTAGTCCCTTGCCTCTGAATTCTATGTGTGACAAATTGATAACCCTAGTTTTTAAAGCCAAAACCAAATTGTTTTCATCTTAGATGGATGTTGAGAATAAAAGTTTATAAAACGGTTACTGAAACAAGGTTTACGATACCACTCCGTCTTTAGCATGCCATCATTGCCACGATGGATTAGCATGTCTAAAAAAGGAATCATATTATTATAGATTGCGAATTTTGCAAATTGAAAATAAATTAGAGGTTATTTAAAGCAATTCTGATAAAATTAATAGAATCAATAACAAAGAACACCTGTTGAATGGTGTATTAATAAAACATAATTCATTTTAGGCCCTAATGAATTTTAATGAATACGCTGTATAATACACTACATCACTACGTCAAATGAGCCTTAATTGGAGAACTCACTTTTGGTATTATGAACATTACCGTCCCTTCGTATTGAATTATAACATATATCTATTACAACCGAATGAGGACACATGATTCAGTGGTTTTCAAACATCCTTTGGTTCTATATTTATAAAAAAATTGGTATATCCCCTACAATTTTCGTAAAAAATTATGAATATTACGTCATAATACTTACGTAATATTATAATAAATATATTTAATGGACTAAAAAGTAAATGTGATTTATTATAAGTAATACTTAATAGTTTTTAGTGCAATAAAAACAAATCCTATACATAAGATTAAACGAATACTTTACTCGTGTGTCATTAATAGTTTACGAGAGGCGGTAGATACTTTTATTCCATCAATATTGTTTTAAAATAGATTAAACGCATTATACATAACGTTGACCATTCAAAGGTGTTTATATGACAATATTCATTGGATTAGAAAGGGGGATTCATTATGGATATCTGTCATTTGTCATCATTAGACAGGAAATTCGGTGAAAAATTCGCTTATACTTCAGGTACCCGTGATTTTTTTTCCGTTTTACTTAATTATTTTGAAAAGTTTTTAGCTCTTTGAAAGTATACACCTCCTAAAAATTGTCAACTTTTTCCTTCACATTAAAAACTGTTAACATGAAATTTGCAACATTAATAGGAACTATTAAACTTTAATAAATGTAACGTAAATAAAATAAAATAAATTGTAAAAGAGTAAATTTATAATCCAAATCAGTTTACTCATGAGCTATAATTGTTTAATTAAATGTTTGTGGTGATATCCGCCAAAGTTAATATAATTATTAAGCCCTTGTTAGAAATTACGATGAACATTTTGAAGCATTTCAGGTTCGTGCGCAATTCGTCGTCATAGTTCTTTCAATAAAGCAATAGCTTATGCCATGCTTGTTTTCTAAATAACCCCATAAGAGAAGTCCAAGGAAGTTAAATCGGGGGATCTTGCTGGTCATTCAATAAAACATCTTCGTCCAATTCATTGCCCACGAAACCGTTCATTAAGGTATCGCCTTACGTGTATGCTATAATGCGGAGGTGTGCCGTATTGTTGAAAAAACCAGCCATCTTCTGAGTATTTGTTATTATTTTCGATTATATCTGCCAAAATGGGATCAGTTATGTCCTTTTATAATTCAAAATATGTTTCTCAGTTTAAATTGTGTTAACTCTTTTTTCATCAACCCAATAACGGCAATTGTGTCGATTTAGAGTACCATTTATAATTATTACAAAACATCCATCAAAAAAACAAATTTAAATAGAAAGTTTGTAGTTCGATTTATTTTCTCAGTTATCTTCTCTTTCTTATTGTACCGTTTTATAACGAAAGTTAGTGATGAAAGTGAGCAGGGAAATACCTGCAAAGAAATAAGTGCCTTTCAAACGAAAACAGTTATTATTATTAGGCAGAACTCTGCAAGAACAAACTGCAACTAACGTAATAGATATAGTTATTGGTGCAGGTATTTGTGCTACGATCAAACATCGATTTCGATCAATGATCGAAAAGTGCTAAAACGCGTTCTGGTCACGAGCATATTGCCAATGTCCGACATATCACTTTTATCCTAGACCAAAACGCTTTTTGGCATTCGCCATATTATCACACAAAAATATTTAATAATTCCTTAGGAAATCCTGGCCAAAATTGAAATAAAAGAAGAACTATGAACTCCGAATTTAGACGAACATGAAGAAGGATATTTCCCACTAGTTGAGCAAAATAATTTAAACAGAAGAAACGCAGAAGATGAACAACAAGATAAAAATGTGTGTATAATGCATACAATGTGAAAAACAAATTTCAGATACTCATAAATGTTTAACTTGGCAATTATCAATTCATATTATCTGCGGGGAAGCTGAAGAAGAAAATAGACAAGATGAGCAAAGTATTACATGTAGTCTTTGTTAATGAAGTAAGAAAATAAATACTGAATGAAACGAGGCTTGAAAAGTAAGTCCAGAAAATGAGTGCTTAC